ATCCAAGTTAATGTATAGCAGATGCTTATGCATTGAAACTACAAAGGTTTGTAGTTCGGAGTAAGACAACTCGAATATGCTGAAATGAGAATGTGAAAGGTTGCACCACCTCATATCTACGATTTTTGAAATTGTACATGAATTTCAAAATGGCATTCTTTATCGAAATTCTTGTCCAGATATTTATTTATTTATTTATTTCAATTGAGATGGATTCAAGTCCAAACAAAAAAAAAAAAAAAAAAAACTACCTTTGAACACCACCTTGAAATATGCTTTACATTTCAACTTCACCCAGATATTATTAATCGGATATGCCTGTGAGTGACGGTACAAATATTGGAAAAGGCGTCTTTGAATTGATAGGGGTATAAACAAATATATATTCGTCTCCTTTTTTGATAATATGCAGAATTAGGAAAATCTCTAAACATGAATAGTACCTACTTAAACTAAAAATATCATAGCAAACAGATTCCAATCATAATCATTGTTAGATAAAATACCCATAATTTATTTGCTTCAACTTGAACATAAGTAGAAAACATCCATACCACTTTGTCTCGACGAATGCATGACACTTATAGAAGCACCAACATTTGACGTTTATTCCAGCACTCTTTTCTGTTAATTTGGGTCCAAGCATTGAATATTGTTCACCTCAGCTACAATCTTCTTCCACTTCACATGTTATCACAAAAATTCAAAACACATGCAGCAAAATAATTTCCTACAATTTCATTTTTGCTTTTTTCTGCCCCACCTAAAGATTAATTTCCTGGAAATCTCAAGAAGTTGATCTTTTAACAACCAACAAATCTTTTCATTTTTTTAAGTAGGTCAAGACGGATGAAATACTCTCCAATTTGCTTTCCCACCATCCACACCAACCTTAACTTCTCTCCTTTCTCAACTCTCTTGGGGCCCTGCCCTTCATCTTCATCACAAGTCATCATCTTTAATGGTCAAACCCATGTTTTATCGTCTTTCAACATAAGCACAGATCATCAGACTGTCAGCTTATGATTAAATGTTTAGGCACCTCAACAGCACTAAGAGCGACTCCGACTACTCCAAATTCAACAAACAACCCAAAAGTTACCATTCTCTCAATGAATAACATCCTAAAACAGATGATTATAATATCAAGAAAACTTTGATGCAAACATTCAGATACAACATCATGGTTTCGACATGTACACCAGTCAACGTCCATAAACAGTAACAGTTAATGAAAAGCTCAGATGTGTGTAAGATTAATACACTACACAAAATCACTGCTGAAAAAGTCCCATGAAAAAAATAACTTTATTAAACCAGCAGATTGCTAGATGTCAATTGGTCAATCAACAGCATCGTGCAAAGATTTGAGGATGGAATGGACGAATATTGTAGATATCCAACTAACTCATATAATATTTCAAATTATTTACACAATTACCTTTTTTTCCCAAAATTGTAACTCCATCCAACGACAGATATACATGAAAATTTTACATAACCCTTTACTTTTAAAAGAAAAAAAAAACATACGAACTGCAAATGTTCTTTCACAAAAAATGACCACCATTTTGTGGTGAACAGACAAAAAGGAAAGCAGTGGCGTACTGGTACAGTTCAGGGATCTGACTACACAATTACCTCAGAATTTTGCAGCAGAACAATCTGCCAGGAACAATTAGATATTATTGTACTGCTGACCAATTAAGGGCTACAATGTTGCATGCTAGCTATCTTCCGTAATACCTGAAACAATTGACATTTGCTAATAAAATCACTCTCAAATTAGATGGCCTCCATCTAGTGAACACAAAAAGAGATATATTCTTCTTGTTGCAAAATGCCCAGAGGGGGTAAAAGCGAAAATTAGGAACAAGAATCAGAAAAGTCAGGAAAATAATTGAAGCACAAGCGTCTAGAACTCCCCAAGGAGCATGCTCAAGTCACTTGTACTAAGAACAAATAAATCGCAATAACTAGTTACTCTAATAGCATTCCTTTCATTAAAGTTGTGCTGCAATTAGTCTATTATTAAGTTGCAGTTGCCTCTTTGAGAACTTCCAAAGCAACTAGCAAAGTACAGCCCTGGGAGCCAGTCAACTTCATCGGTTAAACTACAACAGGTACAAGGACAAGTTTACTTGCAAAAATATAATGTTCTTTAAGCTGAGCACGGAAACACAGTTCCAGCTATGGTATGGGTAACGAGAAGGGAAGGTGAGACTTATGTTGAACATTTCCTCTCCAAGAAATTATAAATAAACATATTCGAATATAAATGGCTTATAATGCAATACCTTGAAATTTGGTTGATAAACAAGGTTTATGAGGAGATTCTGTAGCCAAGAAAGATCAGTAAACTGAAACTCAAACCCATCAACCATTTTCACAACAAAGGAGAAGAAAGGAGAATAGAGAGATGGAGAAGGTAGAAGCAATTTCCAAAATAAGCAATCTACAATTTGTAAACATAACACCTCCCATCCATGAGCCAATATTGAATAGAAGATAAAAAAAATTACTAACAGGGCTCAAAGCTAACTACCACGAATCTCAAGCTACAGTGTGATCATACATACTATCTGCAGGCATAGAACGATTTCAATATAAGTTGCAACCTAACATTATATAGAACTTGGGTTCTCAATCTGAAAGCATGAAAACCCTCTTAAACACTGTAATAATCATTTTGCAACACAGACATTATCCAATATACAACACGACGAGGACATACACACTGAGATGGACTTTTTATGTTACAAATCAGAAGCAAAAACCTCACAGAGATAATTCGAAACACCCTATATCATGGCATTAGTTCTAATATATATTCTTTACCATGTAATACTAACGAATTTCCAACTTGCAAAAATAGATGTAGGTGGATGGTTGGGCCTATCTCACATAATGAATCATACAAGTATGAAGTTTATGTCAGAGCAAATTCAAACTCCGCATGAAAAATATTTCAAGAATCTTCTCAACAGTAAGTATTAGGCTGCTGAAAAAAATATACAGCAAGATGAAATTCTAACAGACAAAACAGTCTGTGATGACTAGACCAAACCATTATTCCATCCATTCTTTTGTGATGACTAGACCAAACCATTATTCCATCCATTCTTTTTTTTTAACCGAGAAATCCATTTGTGACCCATTCTTTGGATCAATCACAGCCTTTGAAATTTGGTGTACAATGGGTGCGCCCCTCTACCCTTTTCCACCTGAATACCGGGCTCCACTTTGCATGGTGCGGGGCTTGAACTTGCGACCTAAGCCACAAATCCTCCACCTTTTGCCACTCGAGCTAGGCTTGGAGTCCATTATTCCATACATTCTAAGACACATTATTTTTTAAGTTGAGTAATTATGCCAATATACCATCTCTGCACTTAATGTTCAAAAGGAAAAAAGCATCTATGCACCTGATTTTCTTCTGCAACAAGTAAAGAAGGTTATCATTTCCTACCAAGGCAAACTGTGTCCCATGCCCTAATAAAGCCATGTACACATAACTTTAGACAAGACTGGCACAAAAGCTTGAGGGCACCTATAGATACAAAAAAACAGCTTATGATGATTGATGCCTACTAAAACACTTAATTAGGTCTTTAAAGCCAAGATCCTGCAGTTTGTTAACAATAACTTGTTCATGCACTACGCCCCTCCACAAACAATGGTACATACTTCTATGCCAAATCTTACCTATGAAAATAAACATAAGCTACAAAATATGCAAGCTGAAGCAACATATTAGAATTTTTATGTGCTTCCGCCAGCTGTGCTGCATCTGCCTACACAAGGGCAATGCTAGCATGCTTCCTTAGTAGCACTAATTTCAATTCTCCACAGAGCACATGCAGATATTGGAGACGAGCTCTCTCGCCAACTGAATGTTAAATGGTACATATCATCTAGCTTCTCGCACATCTTCCTTCATTTACACATTTGATATAGAAAATGTTAAAAAGCACATCGCTTTCAGAATTCCCAAACAAAAATGTTGTTAATTCACTAAGTGATTGTTTGGATGAAAGGATCAGGCCTTAGGGTAATTAATCTTGGCATAGACTAAGACAATATTTGGTTGGATGGATCACTGTTACAAAAGGCGAGCACCTCCTCGCCTTTGGCGAGAGGCGAGGCGAGGCGATGGGTCCTCGCCATACTCTACCGAGGCGAGGCGAGATCAAAATGGCGAGGTGTGGTGACACAATGGCGACAGAAAATGTGCCGCCTTTTTAATTAAAAATATTTGACATAACAATATTAGTCAAAATTAGGGGGTTTTTTGTACTTTTGAAACTTCTGCTTTCTCCATCGCGACTCTCTCTCTATTAACTCTCTTCTCGGCTTCTCCATCGATGTCTCTTTTCCCTCGCTCTCTTCACCAGTTCTCTTCTCGGCTTCTCCATTGCTGTCGGCTTCTCCATCGCGAGACTCTCTCCAGTTCTCCCTCGCCGCCTCGTGATTTTGTTCTCCCTCGTCGCCTCACGATTCTGTTCTCCAGTTCCCTCGCGACTCTCTGTACTCCAGGTATGTCGTTTTCTCTCTTCTTCTTCAATTTTTTTTTTGTTCTTCAATTTTCTTTTTCAGTTCTGTTTTTTTGGTGTAAGCAGTGCTTACTGCTTTGTGTGATTTTTAAAAAAAAATTATAGGCAGTCAATTAAAAAAAAATCTTTCCATTTTCCTAATTATTTATTCCAATATTCCTAAACAGTGAATTAATTGAATTTAATAACCAATGGCGGATGCTAGCAAAAAGAGGGACATTGGATGGAATTATGGCACTCAAGGAGCGACGAAAGATTCGATTAATTGTAACTTTTGTGGGAGTACTTTCAATGGTGGAATAACTCGACACAAACAACATTTAGTGGGTGGTTTCAAGAATGTTAAACAATGTGTCGCTTGTCCGTCGGAGATTAGAGAAGAAGGGCTTATATGCAAAACAAAATCGCTAATAATCCCAAATTTCAAGTGAGGCAACCGGAAGAATATATTGATATTGATGATCTTAATGAAATGGATGATTATGCGGAAATGATGCCTCCCTCCAAAACTCAAAAGATATCTTCTAGTGGAGGTTCATCCACCGCACGGAGTGTGATGAAAGGAGCTTTGAACCTCTATTTTTCACAAAAATCAACACAAAAAGGAGGCTTTGAAAAAGGAGGAGGAATTGATGAAACAAAGAAAATTCTAAGAGAGCGTGCGGTAAATGCTTTTGCAATTTGGATGTATGATGCCGAGCTCCCTTTTAATTGCGTCAATCACAAATCATTCGATAAATTTTTTGAGGCGGTTGGACAACATGGCCCCGGAATGAAGCCTCCTACATTCCATGAAGTTAGAGTCACTCACCTTAAAAAAGAGGTGGATAAAGTAGAAAAAATTATTGATGAGCATAAAGTGCAATGGACAAAGTTCGAATGTTCCATTATGATGGATAAATGGACGGCACGAAATGGCAAAATGATCATCAATATTTTGGTGAATTTCTTCAATCGGTAGTGTATTTCTTGGTTCTGTTGATGCTAGCAATGGATCTACCGATTCCACCAAAATGTACAAGTTATTTGAAAGCACTATCGAAAGAATTGGACCGGAAAATGTTGTACAAATTGTCACCGATAATGCTAGTGAGAATGTCAACGCGGGAAGTATGATGATGGGTGTGTATCCACACATTTATTGGACTCCATGAGCCGCTCATTGCATCAACTTGTAACATATTCAAGGTTAAGCCATATGCTTTCGGTAATCAACATATCCTTTAACTTTCTTTATAGTCAATAATTCATTAGCTACTAATTAATATAATCTAATCTTTCTATAACAATTTTTAAGAAGGCCATCAGAATCCATTCTTACATTAGTCAAAGGCCATTGTTGTTAAACTTGATGAGAAAATTCACCAAGGAAAGAAATTTGAAGAAACCGGCCAAGACAAGATTTGCAACGGCATTCTTAACTTTGAGAGCTATGTACATACAAAGAAAAAACTTGAGAACTTTAGTCCTCTCAACCGAATGGAATTCAAGTAAATTTGCAAAGGAAACTTTGGGGAAAGAAGTTGTCAATCTTATTATTTCTGTCCACTTTTGGAATAATGTTGTTCGGGCACTTACAGTTTGTAGCCCTATGACAAAAGTGCTTCGTTTGGTCGATGGGGAGAAAAAACCACAAATGGGTCATATTTATGAAGCAACGGATAGAGCCAAAGAAGCTATTGCACATGGTTTTCGTGGAGTTAAGAAGCAATATGAGAAAGTGTTTCAAATTATTGATGAGAGGTGGTCAGAACAACTCCATCGGCCTTTGCATGCTGCAGGCCATGTTTTGAACCCAAGATTATATTATAAAGCTCAAGAAGAGGGAACTATATCACAGACTTTGTGGACCGAGTATTATGCATGTGTTGAGAAGTTGGTCCATGATACAACAATACAAAGATGCACTAGTCGTTGAGCTTCCTAAATACAAAATGGCGGATGGACTATTTGGTTGTGGTCCGGCTAAAAGAGCTAGAGACACAAGGTCACCGGGTAAGTGGGTTGATTTAGATCTTACTTAAATTATTTGACTTATTTATAGTCACTAACCTTTAAATTTATTTTATTATCTTACTTAAATTATTTGACTTATTTATAGTCACTAACCTTTAAATTTATTTTATTATAGTTGAATGGTGGTCACTATTTGGTAGTGAAACACCAAACTTGCAAAAGTTTGTCATGAAAGTATTAAGCCTAACTTGTAGCTCATCCGGATGTGAGCGAAATTGGAGTGTGTTTGAACACGCAAGTAAAAATTTATATCCTATTTTTCATATTATATTATTATCAATATCAACTAGTTAATATCAATAACTTATGCACAGATTCATTCCAAAAAGAAGAATAGGCTTACATTATCGCGTCTCAATGATCTAGTGTACATTAAGTACAATAGAACATTGAAACGTCGTTTTGATGCTCGTGATCTTATTGATCCAATTCGCTTAGATAACATAGATGATTCAAATGAATGGTTAGTTGGATGCCCCGAAGATCAAGATGATGAACTAGTATATGAGGATGATGATCTTACCTGGGATAGTGTTGCTACGGCAATTAGAGTGGACGAGAGTATCTATCATCTTAGGGGACTTTCTTCAAGATCAACAGTACTTGACAAGGGCAAAGGAGTAGAAAGTACATCTACAAGTTCATCTTCAAGTAGGACTCGGACACTAATTGATAAAGAATACGAGGAAGAAGATGAAGAGCAATATAATGATGTAGAGGATTTTGATCTTCAAGAGTTGGATAATTTTGAAGAAGAATAGACTTTTAAAGTTTTGGTTTATTGTATTTTGAATTGTTTGGTCTTTAAAGTTTTAGACATTTTAGTATCTACTATTGGTTTTTGAATTGAATATTTGCTAATATGTGTGATTGCGATTAAGATTTTGGATAAGATATGCAATTAAATATTTTTAATTTTTGCTATTAATTGGCGCCTTTATTCAAAAAGGCAAGTGCCTCGCCGCTCGCCTCGCCGCGTGGCGAGGCAGGCCCTTGTCGCCTCTCGCCGTCCACAACACTGAGATGGATTAAGAACCTCTACATAACTAATACAAAAAGTTGGCTGGCATATAAGAAATATCTCTGCACAACTAATGCAGCATTTAGATGGTGTTAAGCTGGTAATAAACAATATCAAAATTCAAGTTATTTTGGGAATCCAGATATTATTCCATGGGGAATCCCTAGAGTTGGGTTTGAATTGCAGTTGGTATGATAATAATCCTCCTCAAAAAACAAAGTTAGTGACATCCAAGTGAGATTTGAAAATATCAGTCAGGTATATTCTTCTTTCATGATAAAGACCAAGTAAACAGTTTCACCTGACTATTACTCCTATTGTCCTGAATCCTCTCTGCTCTTACCTAGACCTTCCTTTCTGGACTTGTCCTCTCTTTGATAAGTTCATTCATAGACCTCAAAGTTTCTTTTTGACAAGTAAACAGGTTTAAATATGGCAAGATGCACTAGACCAGCCCTACAAAAGATAATTACAGAGAGTGAAAGTCACCTGTCAGAGAGTTCATATATCTTCTTTGCTTTTGGGTGGGTATTTTTTTTTTTTTTGGGGGGGGGGGGGGGGGTATTCCAGAGGTTTGATGTTGTGCATAATTTGGCAACCAACTAAGACACTGTTGTAAAACCGGCCACTGATAAATAGTCCTAATCATATTTGCTGGTTTTCCACAATAACCACGAGATGTCAAACTACAATAATCTAGGATGCCATATTACATTATTCTGGTAAAGCTTCCTTGCTTTTGTACTTTCCACAATATGTGATTGAAGAAATCTCACAGGTAACCAACCATTAGTGGAACAATATATGATAATGATCCCAAGCCATGAAGGCATATAATATCTGTTAACCATCAAAATTTGCAGGATTTCAAAAAACAGATATGCCTCTCATGGAAGAATTACGCAATTGTCAGCATAGGTGGGCACTACCAACAAAGTAATGCTAAACCAAATAAAAACTGTTATCTATTTGTGCATGAATCTATGGAAGTTGGAAAAGTTTTTCAACAAGAACATTTTATACATCATTCTCTATGTGAACAGCAGTAACTTAACCAGACTACACCCATAAAAAGTAAATTTTCTGTGTGAATAACAGTAACTTAACCAGTACATACCTATAAATAACAGTAATTTAATTGGACTAGAAATGATTTCTCTTAGCTTTGAATTTCACAAGATTACATGACTTATTCCTAATCGTTCGCCCAGAGCTCTAAATTTTAACAATGCTACCAGATTTGTACTTCACTAGGTATAAGTGAAGCCTTTCATTTTTGGCAGTCTATCAACTACACAGTAAAATTAAGAACAGTTAGGTAAATCCACAATTTCTGTCTTATCCAGCAGGTTTAAGAACAAGCCCAACCAATATTAAGTATATCTGAATGTCAAAGAAAATCATGTTCAAGAGAGTCGGCAAATGGAGAAGCAGGTCCCAATAAATGTAAGAAATAAGATGTTGAAGCACCGACAACAGATATGTTCAGATTCTTCAAAGATTATTAGTTTGTAAGAACTAAACTCTGAACAGTTTATTTTAATACTTACAATGGGTGTAACAGCAGCTTCTGAGAATCAGTGTACATAGAATTATTCAGATAATACACTAACCATTCAGAAGGTTCAATTTAGTTACTCAATACGGTGGTACCGTGGTAGCAGCAGCTTCTTGAGAATCAGATAACTTATCACCACCGTAATCTGATATGTAACAAGAACTAATTACACATGTTCCAGTTTTGTCCCAAAACTTTGGTAAGTTATTTAAAAGGCTATATTTTCTAAATTAATTTTATTACTCAGCATGGTGGTAGCAGCAGCTTCTGAGAATCAGATTATGGTAATGTTGAGAATCAGATTATGGTAGTGGTCAGTATCAGATTATGGTAATGGTGAGAATCAGATTATGGTAACTTATCACCACCTAATCTGATATGTAAAAAAACTAATAACACGTGTTCCACTTTTTGTCCCAAAACTTTGGTATGTGTTATTTATTAGGTTATATTATCTAAATCCACTTCAGATGAAATTCCAAATTATAAAAAAAATTTACCAAACAAATAGAAAAACAGTCTTATATCAGTTGTTGGCTAAGATGAAATTAAAGACCTCAAAGATGTCATACAGCATTTTGTGCCCACAGAAGGAACATCTTGTGAAGAGAAAAACTTCTACTCATTGAATACATAAAAAGTACACCATTTTTATTGTCTTATAGCTCACAGCGAAAATAATGTCATCTGTAGAACAAGTGATAGTTTTCTTTAACAGATCCAAAGTCCAATCAAATATTTTAGCTCTAAAGAATCCTATTCAATATTAATTTATCCAAGGAATCAATGATTGATGCAAATTAAGGGGGGAGAACATTAACTCCATACACAAAGGGGAAAAAAGGGTCATCGGTTGTCCTTATGTTTGACAGAATTATCATACCGACTCATGTAGATACATGTTTTATTTCTTTGAAGATAAGTTTAATACAATAATTTGAAATTGGGAAAAGTCAAAAAGTTGGTCGAAAGATATCACATTAAATTGAACTAAGATATTTCTAACTTGCACTCACTTCAAGCTAAAGAAGTGCTATTTATGCAATTGGAACAACTGTTCAGGTTAAGATTAAACTAAGAAGTAGGCAGCTTAGGATGGGACTGAGGGGTAAGAAATGCATCTAGTAGCATGACAGCATTTCAATAACGGCGCCTGTTAAGATTTCAGCTCCGCTGTTTCTTTTACCATCCTTTTTTTTTCTTGCACGACAATTAAAATATAGAGAACTTCTGATATAAATCACTAATATTATTACATAGATATTAACTTATTTTTCAGTTTCATTTGATCTGATGATGGCATGAGTTGAGCTTAAATGGGGGGAAAATGAGGATTCATATAGTTGAACCCAAATTGTTTGTAATTGAAGCATTGTCGATTCTTTTTTGTGTTTTGTGATGGATTTGTAGGCAACAAAATAGCCCTTGATATAAATCACTATATAACAAATTCATATCACAAAACAAAAAAGAGAGGTCACTCACTTGTTACCCTCTAAAACTGATATCAAAAATATTCTCCAACATCAAGACCAAGAAGAAGATGGAAATCCCAAGGAAAACCAATAAAAGATAAATGAAGATTCGAATTGCTTCCTTATCTGCACTATGTATCCAATCCTATTTGCACAGATGTTCCTAACCAGGAGATGAGGGGGTGCTTTGAAGGGGGGCGAAAAATGTTGACTTCTCTTTGTTTGTATCAAGACGCCCGAAGGGCTGACCCTATGCACCGCAGGAGCCGTGACCCTAATGCTCATGTGTATGTCCAATTAGAAATTTTCAGTTGATAGGCATCATGTGCCTTCAACCGTAAAACAAAAACCTCTGATTAACTTGCTAACATTTACAAGAAAGATTAAATAGAAATGTGAGCAAGGGTTAAGAATGCCAACATGGAAATTCTCAAAATTGAGAATCTGAAACAGGGAAAATTTTGGCTAGCCTATATCAGTTATGCATCCTCCCAAATTTCCAGTTATATATGAAGTATGGAAGCAAATTATATCAATACTCATTGGTAAACATATTCTTCAAGTTATGAAGGATTCTCATTGTACACGGATAGAGTAAGTAACTCATTGCTGATATATGATAGGATTTTACTTGCATTACCTGGAGACTAAAAGACATCACCAAATCCAACAAGATTTACCAGTTTAAAAAAAAAAGAAGATGATTTCTTGTTAATAACAAAACTGAAGGAAGATGACCAGCTAATACAAATTTCTCATCTGCACCAAACTCTACAACTCAGTATAGTCAGCATAATTACAAGGGTCAACAGGGCTTACACTTTGTTAAGTATGTGTCTGTGAAATGCATTTGTCAGGAAAATTACAATAGTACAAAATCCTGCCAAGGGTCACCCAACTTTACAGCAAATGCTCTAATGACTGTCTTTTTTCCAGACGTCAGTCCTGTATCCTACTTGAGCCACCATTAGATACTGAAAAGAACAAACATAAAGGTCATACTTCACCAAGAAAGAAGAATTTAAGACAGAAGTGCAGTAAATGACACCATTCTTAAGAGTCCAAGCACTCTACATGCACAAAGCTCGGATGTGCAGATATGTCAACTAAATCCTTTTCCAAACTACAAACCCTGATTAACCACTAACTCACCGATGATCAAAACCAACTGTCAATGGCCCTCATGCTGGCCTCCAGTTGAGGACAGTTACGTCCGGTCGGCAAGGCATTCCATGACCTACCACATTAGTCGGTCAGTTCTTTCTCCCACAAAGCTGAGACTAAGAATCAAGAAGCAAATTTAACTATAAATTCTTCACCAATATATCACCTGAAATTGGAGGACCAGTAGGGAAAGCATTTGACCCAGAAGGCTGGAATCCAACATTACTCACAGGTGGTCTATCAGGTGGTCTAAAATAACCTGCCATGAAAGTCACTTGTCAAAGTGGTCTATTGAAGAACTAAACAATGATTGACGATTCAAAATTCAAGATTGCTCCACATTTTCTTTTAGTTAACAGATGTCACAACTTCAACATTTTACCTAGATAAGAACTTAGGTATATATTGTAGGCCCACATATGTGAAAAAAGAACAAATTATTTTCCGGCCACAACTTGAAGCCATCACGTTATCACTTAACACGAGACGGAGTAAAATTGGAATGAGAAAAGAAGGAAAGAGGGAGCGCCTACTAAAACTATATGTGAGTGTCACACCTTCATATGAATCATTTAAAGAGACCTCAAATGTCATGCCACAAAAGAAATTGAGAAAGTATCGAAGAATAAAGTTTAGCATGATACTGTTTCTCCAAATACATTTATGGTTGTTACTGATCACAACAAGCGCAAGAGCTGCATCACCAACCTTACTGGCGGTGGAATGCCATATACATTATCACTTCCCCTTTTTCTATTAATAACTATATTTTACCGAGTATACAGGAGAATTCCCACATGCAAGATGTATACAAACCTACATATACGCCGTACAAAAACATGACTCTCTACAAAGAGCGCACAATCAAATGTCACAGGTGCATAGTATAACTCTTCAACAATCAGCAAGCACCAATAATTTATTCAATTATTACATGTACCACTGACAAAAACAAATAAATCTAAGCAGAACCTATGCCCTGACCCAGTGACACGCAACAGCTAGATTTTGGTAAGCCAAGTGAATGACTTCTGTTTCTACGGATAAAAAACAACAGTTGATATTTAGAGCTTGTGCCAGTTGCATGCACGTTACCACTTGACAATACATATAAAAGAGGGCCAGTATAAGCATCATATGCAGGCTTGAAAATTTGAATAATATGGTCTGTCAAAACTTATATGAGTTATTGGAGATTTACTAAGAGCTAGAAGAAATTTATTTTATTTTTTTTAGAAATTTAGTATATCCAAATTCCTGCCACTTTGTTTCTCATGTAAATCAACAAAAGCATAGCAAAAGAATCAAACCTTCTTGAGCAATAGTTGGACCAGGGCATGATCTTCCTGCACCAATCCACATACTGCGCTGGTGGTCACCACTGAACTCATTGGGTTGAACCCTCCACTGTTCATCACCAATATAACGCCTCGATCCATCAGGGCGCTCTGGTAATGAGCATGGTGTAGGATATGCTTGTTGTGGATGTTGCTGCACTGGGGCCCTTGGATACGAAAAACTATTGGAGGGGATTTGATGTGGAGGGTTAAGATGCATGGGCCTTGGGGCAAAAGGCACATTACCAGGTTGAAATTTCTGCGTGGACTGAGAAACTGGTGGGTTTATATATGCATCGTTATAACCATATTCCAAAGGTCGTGAACTATATCCAGAAGATTCCCGCAAATTACTAACTCCTGCTGGTGTAAACGAAGGTGGTTGCAATGGGAATACCTCATTCCTATTAGAAGCATTGATACGAGGACCATGAGGCATGTTTCCAGCTACCTGTGGTAGCCGATGACCCTGTGAAAGAATAGTAGTCTTAGAGCCATATAATGAGAGAACATAAATAGATCACAGCAAGAAGCCTTACACTGGGTATGTTACTAACTTCATTTGGAAGAGGAGGTTGCGTATATGCCACTCCAGGCGAAGACGATGGTACTGATGGAGTGAGAGTGTGTAAGTGTTGTGTCCCTACTTCATGTTGGAGTGAAAAAGAAGGTTGAGGGAACATGAGAGGAGGTGGTCCAGCGGGCAGTGGAGGGAACGGATGTGGCTGAGATGGAGGTAGTGGGGGCTGTGATGGAGGAAGTGGGGGTGGTGGGGGTGGTGGAGGTGGCAATGGAGATAATGGAGGTGGAGGTGGAGGTGGCGCCGGTGATGGAGGGGGAGAGGAAGGCAAAGGTGGGGTGGGTGGAGGAGAACAAGGAGGTAATGGTGGGGATCCCATAGGTAGAGGCGGCAAATCAGATATATTATCTAAAGCTGATTCCAGGGTTCGATCTGAGCCAGACTGGTTCACATCATCTGCAAACAAAGGTCTTTCATCTTTTGGGTGGCCAGAAACATCTTCCATTTCAAGCTCGCCGTCCACATCCTCCAAGATACAATGACGCCTGTCACTAGGAGTGACCATATATCTTTCAGCATTATCACCTGTTGCAGGTGTATGCTCTATTGCTAATTCCTCAGCAGCTTCATTTTGCAAATTACGAAGAACATCTTCTTCTTCCTCCTCATCAAAAACGTGAGAGGATAAAAATCCAGGCAACTGAAATGTAGCATTGCTGAAAACACAAGTAGGAATAAAATATGTCAGAGATTAAAGTAAACCAGCAGCTATAAAAATATTATGTCTTCAATGACAGCAAAAGGGCAAAACATTGCTACCAATGCTATACAAACAAAATGCCACAGATTATTAGAAAATTATAAATGTGGAAAGAAGTTCCCATGGACATCTTCTATATCAGTAACAAATTCTAAGAGAACAAAAGAAACTACGTCAACTGCAGTTGGTTACAATCTTGAACACTGTTCTTAAAATTGGTGTTTAAGACCCAACAATAAGGTCTTACTCCTGCATCTAGTCAATAACATTTCATATTATGAGCCACTCACAGAAATAAGCATCTGCACCAACAGGAAACAGAGCAAAACACTCATGTGGTGTGCACAGATCCAAAAACAAACACTTGAAAAAGGAGTAGGTTCAAAAGATCCATCTCTGAGATATCAACCCCGATGAAAAACGGGTATTCAGATTTCAGAAAACCCCTTAACAATTCCAAAAACAGAGGAAAATATATGCACACTGATTCCTTCTTACACAGATACACACACTGATTCCTGTCTCAAACATTCTCCTACCATTCAAATTGGGATCCGAAACAAGAATCAGATACCTTTTTATCAAAAAAGAAAAACAAGAATCACATACCTATTTCATGAATCAAAAATTAAATTGAAAGGCTTGAACAAATTAAAGGAGGATCATGGAGCAAATAGTTAAATTATTTTATCAACTACAAACATATATTCAGTGCTATTCTAACATATCCAAATATTTGCTGCAAATGTACTCTCAAGGACGGTACTCGAATAAGCCCGTTCAGAAAAGGTTTGAAGAATATGATCCACATGAGTTAGCTGGGAGAGCACATCATTCAGAAATGGGGAAAATAAGGGGGAAAGGTGGGTTCAAAGCTTTTTGACAATTCCTCTACAAGTGAAAACGCAAAAGGCCGATAAAGTTCCTGGGCATTAAAGCAAGAAATGAAAAGCAAAAGCCTAAGCATGCACTTTGCACCTCACTTCCAAAGCACATGCTTCTTCATAGCTGCGTCTACAATCCTGAAAGAGAGTGACCCCTAGCTCACATCTCTTTGTGACTTGACATTTAATAAGATGGGTTTTCAGCTTTAGAGCCAGTTCCCAACCATTCCAAGGAGAAGAGAATTACAAGTATAAAGTCCTACACATGGGACAGAACACTTCAAAGAGGTAGGAAATTGTCTTCATCCCCCATCTGAAATTCATCAGTGATTTCTAGATTCACATTCAATACCGACATTAAAGTCCACACCAGCATCAACACAGATAATTATACTGAATTCAGATTATGAATCACAGCACCACCGATAACAGCATAGGAAGTTACAGTGCTTTGTTTTTTTCTTAAACAAACAATATAACAAAGGGGCACTATAACGCAGACGCACATGAAAACGAATTGAAAGTTTCATAGCGACACTATTAAGATTCATAGACAAAAGTATTTCACAAGAACAAGGATGGAGTAAGTTTCTAACCTGCCATACTCATCAACAAGCATGCCTTCCATCTCTCTTATAGGATCATCAATAGCACGCTCAGCTCGAGATGGTCGTCTAAAGGACAAACCACCAGACGAATCATCATTCGACGAACCAATATCATCCATATGACGGCGAAGAAGAGAATCAGGATATATTTTCCTCTCAAGCCATAATCGCAAAACCTATAAAGGAGATACAATCAACATCATGAAGGGCTGCTTTTAAATGACCAACTGGTTCTAGTGTTTGGACAATCACCTTGAGACATTGACGACGGTTTTCCTGGGCACCCACTCCTGGAGGAGCAGCAGCTCCCAAAAGACGAGGTAATGCCGCTTGAACAGCAGGAATATATGATGCTCCTGCAATGCCTGAACAAAATACATGTAACAAGGCAGAATCAAATCTTATTCAAGTACCATATGCCACAATATTACCAGATTTTTAGCAAGTAAAAGGATTGAGAAAATACAACATAACACTTTTTAACTCTATCCACAAAGCAGTTAGTTGATTCAATTTTAACATAGAAAGCATCCACCGATCAAGAGCTTTGCATAAAAAAACACAAGGAGAAAATAAGGCAGTAGCACGGTATGGGATCAGTCCCTTGTTCTCAGAGTTAAGTGTGAAATAATTTAGTCATGATCTTACGATCTGAAAATCTCTTCATGCTATACATTAAGATCCATTTCTTCAATCACC